CCTGCCTAGAGTCCCCCAGTGAGGGGCTGGGGGCGTGGCTCAGTGGTGGAGCCCCTGCCTAGGATCCCCCAGTGAGGGGCTGGGGGCGTGGCTCAGTGGTAGAGCCCTGCCTAGAGTCCCCCAGTGAGGGGCTGGGGGCGTGGCTCAGTGGTAGAGCACTCATCTTGCACACAAGCATCCTATGTCCACTCCCAGGCAACAACCATTACAATAAATAAAGATGTGAACAGTGACTCATGGCCTGACTGCTTTAAACAGACTGGAAACTGTAAGAAGCCTGCTGGCCGGGGACGCTGACCCGTAGAGAAGTGCTCATGATGACCTCTCCCGTTGCCCATGACAGTAAGTACCAAGCACCTGAATGTCTTTGCCACCAAAAGCTCTGTAAACTGACCAGATATTTGGGGACCAGGCTTTTGGAAGCATGGCTTTTTGGCTCATGAGTAGGACACGGGAGCTGAATCATAGACAACTGCATGCACATGCTGGCATCTGGGCATTCTTCTTAGGCCTAGCAACTTCACCAGAATCTCAAAGGATTTTTAGTGATTAGCCAAAAACAGGATTGAGAAATGCAAGCTACTAACTGCCAGCTGGGTTGGACACTGGCCTTGAGGGGTCTTTAAATCTCTAAATCCATGCTTCATTACAATAGCTATTCATTCCTGCTGTCTAACAGATGCTTAGATATCAAGGGCGGGCCTGCAAGTTGGTTTAGCAGGTAAAGACGCTGCCAGCTTGTCAAGATGACAAATGCTTTCATTTCAGCACTCAGTAAACAGTGACTCTGAGGTCCTGTCAGCCAAAGATCATAACGCACCCATGTCTTAAAAAAAAAAAAACGGGGGGGGGGCTGGAAAGATGGCTCAGCAGTTCTTCCAGAGGACCCAGGTTCAATTCCCAGCACCCATGTGGTACCTCACAAGTGTCCGTAACTCCCACTTCAGGAGATCCCACACCCTCATACAAATACACGTGCAGGAAAAACACCCATCCACAGATGATAAACAGAAATCATTTATTTTTTTAAAAGAGATACTACAAAGCTTTACACCCTGAATGTGTTCCCTGAATTCCACATGGTGAAAAGGGAAAGCTGACTTTCAGAAATTCTCCTCAGGCACCGAGAGCTCTGCATCTTCATGCAAAGGGAGCCAAGGAGCAGACTGTCTTCCAAGCGGCTAGGTGGAGGGTCTCAAAGCGACAGTGACACACTTCCTCCAACAAGGCCACACCCACTCCAACAAGGCCACACCTCCTAACAGGGCCACTCCCTGGGCCTAGCATATTCAAACCACCTGAGGGCTGCACTTGAGCCCTCATGAATATACCACAAACACCTCACCCACCTCCGTCCCGCCCACCGCCCTTACTTCCACCCCGTTTACTTCCCTTCGGTGTGCTTCCACCACTCACTGCCCTGCACATCTCCTCAGGGGAAGGATGGGCCCTGTCCGACTCACCGGAGGCATGATGTCCAGTGACCCAGCGTCTTCTCCCTCCACTTCAATGATCATCTCCTGGGGTAGAACAAAGTTCTGGGAAACGAAACACATGAGACAAAGGGAACCCATCAGAGAACAAAGCCAAGACCAGACACCCCATGGCGGGTCCGTAGAACCTGCTCTAACACATCTAGCTGCCGGTCTCTGCTCCGAGACCGCTCCACATCAGCTCAAGGTAACTTGTGAAGACAGAAGGGGCTTCCCAAGGAATGAGGCCTCACACACAGCACAAGACTGTTGTGAGCGCTTCAGCACGGCCCCGCTTGCCAGCTGAAGGTGGCTGAGAGAAGCCAGGATACACTGGCGTAAAAGACCTCACCCGGCCTGGCCAGCCTTGACCACTGGGCCCTGCCTAAACTCCTGCACCACTCAGCAGTAAGCGAGCAACTCAGTCTCTGGCATGACCCAAGCCAGAAGCAATTCAGAGTGACTAACAAATTAACTTCAAAATGAAGTCAGACATGGTGGTGCATGATTGTCACCACAGCACTTGGGAGGCAGGAGGACCACAAAGTTCAAGGGGATATTCAGCAACACAGAGACTTACAGGCCAGCCTCTAGAAGAGGCTGGAGGATGGTCCTGTGTGTGACTAGAGTTTGGATCCTAGCACCCGTGTCAGCACCCAGGCTGGTCTGCCAATGACTACAACCTTCTCTGAGCTGGGCAGAGGCAGGAGAATCACTGGGCCTTCTGTCTCCCAATCCAGTCACAGGTTCAGGGAAAGCACCTGTTTCAAAGGACGCCTGTTGGAGGCACACACACCTGCGCACATAAACCCAGGCACAACACACATACACACACACAAATGATCTTTTTTTTATTATTATTATTATATATGAATACACTGTAGCTGTCTTCAGACACACCAGAAGAGGGCATCAGATCTCATTTCAGATGGTTGTGAGCCACCATGTGGTTGCTGGGATTTGAACTCAGGACCTCTGGAAGTGCAGTCGGTGCTCTTAACCACTGAGCCATCTCTCCAGCCCACAAATTATCTTTTTAAAAAGCACCAACAATGTAGAAACTAGTGATGTCTACACAGCTGGCAGTGGAGAGACGGCTCAGCAGTCAGAGGAGCTGAGGTTCTAGGCGGCTTCTTTAGGCAGTAGCCATGGCACATGATTCTGTCCTAACTACAGGGGACTTGGGAGGTGCTAGGGCTTACAGGCTGGGAAGGTTAAGTGATGGGCTGGCTCCCTGTGCGCAGCTATGGGGAAGCCATCATGTAGGCCAGGTGCAGACTTCCCGTTGAGGTTGCTCTGGGGCATCTGTGCTCTCAGGTGGTCCCAGGCTAAGCTCTGAGAGAACTGTACCTTGTCACTGAGATCAAGGATGAGGAGGAGAGATGATTACTTCCCAGAGAGGATATTCTGTAAAGCTAGACTCACATTCAGCTGTTTCATGGCTTCTACTTGCTTCTGTTCACTCTCAACCTCTGGGCACTTTAGGAACACCCAGCTTCCAAGGCACCCTTCGGGCAGTCCCCTTGTCCATTCTTTTAACAACAGAGGACATCGCCACTCGATATCTGACAAAATAACATGACAGGCAGATGGGGGTGGGTCTACTGCACTCTCAGCCTACACACACCAGGACACACACAAATCCCCCCCTTTCCACTGCCCCGCCACTTGAGCTCCAGCTAACTGCTGAAGAGCCACTGCGCCAGATGGCACAAGCCCTTCTCTCTTCCCGCTTCCCTCTTTTCCTGTCTTTCCTGGACTTTTTCTATGCCAGTAAAATGACTGCCTTCCTGTTATGTTACATTCGCCACCACACTCCATCATGGATTCTACGCTATGAGGCCATGTGACTGTAGGCCAACAAGATGGCTCAGCGGATGAGGGCATCTGCTGCCAAGCTTGTCAGCCTGAGAGAACTGACTCTACAAAGTCGTCCTGACCTCCATATGTGCACGGTGACATGCATGTACACATGTGTGCATGCGCAAACATGCACGCGAATATAAATGTGGTTTTCTTGAGCCAGAGACAGAATAAATTGCTAACGACGGCAGATGATTTACCTGTGGCCTGGGCACACCCGTGAGGATTTCTCTTTCCACAGTCAGTTTGTGGCTGTTATAAAGGAACTACAACTAAGTGGGTTTTTTTTTTGTTTTTTTTTGTTTTTTGTTTTTTTTTTTTGTTTTTTTTTTTTGTTGTTGTTGTTTTTTTCGAGACAGGGTTTCTCTGTATAGCCCTGGCTGTCCTGGAACTCACTCTGTAGACCAGGCTAGCCTCGAACTCTCGAACTCAGAGATCCGCCTGCCTCTGCCTCCCAAGTGCTGGGATTAAAGGCGTGCGCCACCACTGCCCGGCTACAACTAAGTGTTAAAGTGAACAACAGATAGTCCCACAAATTTGTAAGCTGAATTTAAGAAGTTCGGCTGCGAATCTAGTGATGGGTCATCACGAAGTCACCACTCAGAACCTTTCATATTTAAGAGTTTTAGACTTACATCTGTATATATAAAAAAAAATTTCTTGTCATAATGTCCAGAAGGCATTTGAAATTGTTACTGGATTGTTTTACCAATAAGTGGCTTGGGAGTTAGAGCCTAGTTTCTTGTAAGCTGCTCCGTCAAAGCCTATGGACATCTTAGAGACCAGCCAGAGTACAGTCAGATTCAAAAAGTGCCGCTTATTGTGGTGACATTGTTACCAGGCAGAAGATTGCCATACTGAGGACGATTCACGTTATGATGTCTTTGACACTGTCTCAAAGCATTGCAGAATGAGTTATGTAAAGGATATGAATTTTATATAATTTCAACTGAGGTCTTTAAATTGGGTAGCGTATTTAACTCCAAATGAAGTACTGGGCCTCTGTAGTCTCCTCAGCGTTGGGAAGCACAAAGCCATCCTTTTCTGGACTAGAAGTCGTGGTTCACATCTAATCCCAGTACTTAGGAAGTGGAGACAGGGGCATGCACAGTTGAAGGACGGTCATCTTCAGCCGTAGGATGAGTTCCAGGGCAGCCCTCAACACATGAGAGCCTGTCCTGCCTTAAAATGTTTTTTAAAAAGCCGGTGGATGAAGCGATGGCTCAGTGGTTAAGAGCACTCGCTGCTCTTGGAGAGGACCCTGGTTTAGTCCTCCATATCCACAGGAGGCAGCCCACTGCCCTCACTCCAGCTCCAGGGGATCGGATGCCCTATTCTGGTTCTGTGGGGACCTACACACAAGTGGAATATAGCCATGAACACACACATGAAAATAAAAAATAAATAAATCCCAGCTAGAGATAGTTCAGCAGTCAAGAGCACTGGCTGCTCTTCCAGAGGACTTGGGCTCAGTCCTCAGCACCTACGTGGTGGCTCACAGTCATCTCTAACTCTAGTTCCAGGGGATCCACTGCCCTCTTCTGGACTCCTTGGGCACCAGGCAAGCATGTAGTGTACAGATACACATACAAACAAAACACCCATACACATCAAACTTAAAAATCGGTAAGTAAAAATAATCCTAAAACTTTAAAAGGGTAGAGGACTAGAGAGAAAGAGAGATCAAGAGTTAAGAGTTCAGATCCCAGAAGTCAGGTAACAAGCCAGATGTCCCATGCATACCTCTAACCCCAGTTCCAAGGGGCAGAGAGCAGAGACTCACTAGGACCTACTGGCTTCCAGCCTATCTGGGGAAATGCTAGCCTTTGGTGTATGACAGACTCTTCCTAGGGAGGTGAAACATACATATGTCTATTTATGCCAGAAAGGAAACCCATGTATACCGATCCTGGGTTCTGTAAGAAAGCAGGCTGAGCAGGCCATGGGAAACAAGCCAGTAAGCAGCACCCCTCCATGGCCTCTGCGTCAGCTCCTGCCTCCAGGTTCCTGCCCTGCTGGCGTTCCAGTCCTAATTTACTCTGGTAATAAACAGCCAAATAAACCCTTTCCTCCACAACTTGCTTGTCAGTCATGGTGCTTCGTTACAGCAATAGAAACCCTAAGACGGGTGAGGCGCACAGGTGAGGGTCCCTAGCAGGAGCAGCTACATGCCTGGAGCTCCTGCACAGCTTGCAGGTAGTTCCAAAGGCCAAGGGGGCTCTTCTGCAGTGTGCCTCCAGAGTTTCCTCCATAACCGTTGGGTTTTTGCTTCCATTATCCCCAGGGAAGGAGCCCTCCTGGCTCTCCACTTTATTGGCTCTGTGACGTTTTATTTACTTGCCCCCCTGCAACCTAGAGGGAGCCCTTCAATCGGAAGAGATTGCTCTACAACATCAGAAAAAGGCCATCTCTCAAAATACTATGTAGAGAGTAACCGACCATCATCATCTTGTGCCTTCCTCTGGCCTCGACACAGGCACATACCCCTGTCAACATATATGTATACATGTACATACACACGGGGCTGGTTAATCTTTTAAAAAGCCTGCCACTCATGAGGGACCAAATCCCTTAAAATACTGCAAAGAGATTTTCAAGGCTCAGGCTGTGGGGTCAGGCTGGAAAGAGCTGAGGCCCCTGGGGGAAGGGTGGCTTCACTTACCTCCACACAGGCCTGCAGGGGTTCCAGGGACTCGTCATCTTGCTGCTCCATGGTCTCTTCCAGGTGTGGCGTGGAGCCAAGCTGCACAAACAAAAGAAGCTCTGTACAGCTGCCACTGCCGCTCTCCAGCCCAGCCTGACCCCTGGCAGTTAATGCCCCAACTGGACATTAACCAAGAGTCCCTGAGTTCCGCCTCCAGGCCAAGTCTGCAGCTCCAATTTGTTCCTCCCTTCCCACTCCTCTGTAAGCCACCTCATGCTCAAAACATGGCCATCTGCCCAGTACCAAAATGTGCAGCTCCAATCGGGACATTCACTGGGTCCTGGGAACCCCTCACACACCCAGCACTCAAAGAACCCCTTAGTATTACGTACTCTACCACCCTGAGTGTGCAACCTCAAAACAACCCCTCTTCCCAGGCCTAGGAACCATATAGCCACTGACCAAACAGAGGAGATTCAGGAAATACACAGCCTTCCCAGATCGTTGTTTTAACGAGAACACTGCCCTTTTGTCAGCAAACACCCAGAGTCTCCACCTTCCTATCCAAACAGCCAGGGACAGGACAGACCCCCTCTTTCCACTACGCAGCCAGCATCTGCCTCAGATTCTTACCCAAGCCCTCAAGCCCTGAATTTGTCACTTGAACCTGATTCCTCTGGAGGGCTTTTGGACTTAAAGCCACAATAGTCTATGCAGGACTGGGGAAC